TGAGTTTCCTCTGGAAGAGGTTTCCATTTGCAGAACTGACTGGGATTCCAACTGCTATTTGTCACTAGAGGCCATGAGATACATTCCAGTCAGCCAGGGAGTGATCCACATTCATAGAATTTCAAAGCTGGAAAGATTAGAGACTCTTCCTCAACTCCCCAAGTGTGGCATCAGAGACAGAGAAAAGATAAATGACTTTCTCATGGCCCCACACCAAGTAAATGATGAGACCTAACTCATATTCCATCCCTACGGAATGCCATCTCTGGTTATTTGTAGTGTTTTTATATCCCAGCTTTCTTAGGAATGCTTTTATTTTTCTTTCCAAATTTTCAGTGCTCACATTTATATACCTTCTACATGTGGAATAAAATGTAGCCCTCAGGTAGATGAGAAATGATGCCAATGTGAGGGGTGGGTGCTTTGCTGGTGAGAAATACTTATTTCACTTTTAGGGGCCACTCTGAATCAGTGCTAATCTTCTGAGTTCTTTCCCAATGTAGTTTACATATTTAGTCAAAATGCTTTTCAGAAGGACTTAACTCCTTGAATCTTATAAGACAGGTTCATTTCTCCTCTTCTCCCATCAGCAGATTCAATCAAACACAAAGATTTCAAGGCTATGATTTCATACTTGAGTTTAAAAAGTAGAGATTAAGAGCTTGCCTATTCACGTGTTAGCTCTGCATAGTCCACTAATGAGTAATATTTTCTTTAATCACTATTCCTTTCTCTCTCTTAAATAAAGCTCCTGTCACTGTAATGAAATATTGATCTATTTTTAAACCTTTTTTCTTCTCCCCAATATAATGTAGGGGGAACGGGAGGGGTACAAGTACTATGGGTGTTAATCCAGAAGTTGGTCATGCAGACCAACTGAGAATTGAAGAGGGAGAAGAAGAAGAAGAAGAAGAAGAAGAAAAAAACCACTTTTAATGTATGCACAGAAAATTGTAAACATGTAAAGAACTGAAAGCTTCATGCTGAGTTTTGCTATGCTCCATTTCCTTACCATTTCCTGCTGTCGCTGTAAACCTATCTCACTCATCTCTGGGTTCCGTGAGCAGGAACAGTGTGCTCATAATTACTAACGAATCAACCGGGCCCTGTTGCTCTCTGGGCTTATTGATAAGCAGGAGAAAAGCAGAAGGGAAAAGACAAAGAGAATAAAATATGGGGTTAATCAGCTGGGTTAAGCAGGTGTGAGAGTGGAGGGAAAGATAGGTGATTCCGAAGCTATGGACCTAAAGGAAAGTTAAGACAAAAAATGCGTAGGGTCTAGTCTAGAGGGTCAGTGTAGAGGATTAACACCAAGCTAGGTTAGGAAAGAGGTTCAGAACCTGAGGATAAGCGATAGAGGATGGTAGGGGGCCAGCAGGTGGTATGGTGGCTAAAGCTCTGGACTCCCACATGGTTGACTGCAGTTAGAGTCTCAGACCTGGAGACATGAAAATCATGCTGGGCTTGTGTGCCCCAAATCCTGGAAGACAATGGAGGAGAAGGGATTGGGACATGGCTATCTCCCCCTGGGGGGTTATTTCTCACTTTCCCTCTCACTGTCTCTCTGGGGTGCATATGTGCCCTATGGCAAAAGCCTGGGGGGGGCAGGGAAATAATAGAAGGTGGGAACATAATTGTGAAGCTTAAATGAGAAAGCGAAAATATAATCTGAAACACATCTGCTTACATTGTGTGTTTGGAAAGAGAAAACAAAAAAACAAAACTTTCCATCAGTGCACTACTGTACTGCCAAGCTGACTGGATTGGGAATATTTAAGTGATAGGATATGTAGAGGTATAGCCCATGGGAAGGAGCAATATACATTCCCCAGAGGAAAGACTCTTGTCAGATATATCAGGCAATTAACAATAGAGAAATTAGAGGGCAGGTTATAAAATGCCTCTAAAGACCTGGTTTTTTAAGAGATTTAGTATCTGAGACTTCCAGAAGTAGGTAAAATTTCAAACCTCAGGAGGTATTCAGTTATACTGTGTAGGAAGTAGAAGTTGAACTTTGTATTTTCAGTTCAGTGGGGTTCTGTTGTTATGATATTCTTTCTAAATAGTGTTTGGCTACAACAAATGTTGAGTATCAAAGATGAAATGTTTATGCAATTTATTTCCGTAGTTCATAGGGGTGCATATGTGCCCTATGGCAAAAGCCTGGGGGGGGCAGGGAAATAATAGAAGGTGGGAACATAATTGTGAAGCTTAAATGAGAAAGCGAAAATATAATCTGAAACACATCTGCTTACATTGTGTGTTTGGAAAGAGAAAACAAAAAAACAAAACTTTCCATCAGTGCACTACTGTACTGCCAAGCTGACTGGATTGGGAATATTTAAGTGATAGGATATGTAGAGGTATAGCCCATGGGAAGGAGCAATATACATTCCCCAGAGGAAAGACTCTTGTCAGATATATCAGGCAATTAACAATAGAGAAATTAGAGGGCAGGTTATAAAATGCCTCTAAAGACCTGGTTTTTTAAGAGATTTAGTATCTGAGACTTCCAGAAGTAGGTAAAATTTCAAACCTCAGGAGGTATTCAGTTATACTGTGTAGGAAGTAGAAGTTGAACTTTGTATTTTCAGTTCAGTGGGGTTCTGTTGTTATGATATTCTTTCTAAATAGTGTTTGGCTACAACAAATGTTGAGTATCAAAGATGAAATGTTTATGCAATTTATTTCCGTAGTTCATATCACGTTAAGACTACAAGAATCACCTACATTTTGGAGAAAGTTTTCTCCCTGTTTACCTAATGGTAATTCTCATTGTTGTAAATTATTTGTTCATAGTGTTTTGAATATAAGTCTGAAATATTAGAATCAAGACTGCTATGAAAAATAGATTAAAATAGACATGTATTTTTGGTATAAGAATTAAATGACAGGGTGTTCCCACCCCAGGCACCTACCATGTGACTCTGATTCTAGGTTTAACTGAACTCTGTTTAATACACTGTTTAATTCAACTTTTCATTGGCTCACTGTCAAATGGGAAGCAGCTTCACTGATGAGACTATGAGGGGGATCATAAATAAGGAAGTCCCTCTGTAGCCCCTTACCTCATGACAGTGCAGGGAATCCATACTGTTACCTAATACCATTCATTCATCTGAGACAAGGGCTTAGGCTTGGTGGACAGATCCAGAGATCTAAAATGTCTTCAAAAAACTAGTGAAAGAAATTGCTTTAGTGACCCTATCTATGCACCCAGGAATGCTCTTTTCCACAAGATATTTGTAAAAGGTCAGTTGCGATTCATAGTAAGGAAAAGATGGGGAACATAACTGGCTTTTAGGAATTGCAAAATGATTGGAAAGGTTGGAATGATGGGATTTGTGGTAGAGAAAATAAACTGTTACAAAAGTACTCAATGTTAATTAGGACAGACTTCTAATTAGAACAAAAGAGATTATGCATACTGTTTGACAAACAGGGTTCTAGGCTCCAGGTGAGAGAACGAATGTATTTTTCTTCTATCAGATTTAGAGAGTGAAATAAAGACTTTAACAAAGAAGTACGGTGGAAATCCCCCCTTTTTCTTCCCCCAACCAGGTGCATGTTCTATAAGTTCCCTGGGTTGGCAATCAAGGAATGTTCTGAAGACTTGCCAGGGAAAGGGGGAGGGGCTTCATACCTCAGTGGAAAAAGCTAAGGTGTCGAACTAGACAGAAGTCACCTGCTCAATGATGTCTAAAGCCTATGGGAAGAAAATGGGTTTGAGCAATGCAGAAGTCCAAAGGGCAAGATTGCCAGAGAACTGGCAGGTTATTGTTCACTATTTCTCATTCCCAGTCTTCTGGTTCCACTGAGCCTGGCTTCATCTTGACTAGCAGATGACACAGAAACACAATTAAATAGAAATACAGGCTGGAGAGGCTGAATACGCCAGGGTAGCAGTGGCAACCAGCTGTCAGCTCTTATTAACTTCTGCATAAAACATACCTTGAGTGCGGTTTGTTATCAATTACTTGCCGAAATGAAACAACTGGGGCAGGGCAGACCGCGCTCATATGAATTAGAGTGATTGGTTGATTGATCAGGGCACCTGTTGTAAATCATAACTGCTCCAACGAATTACCAGCCGGTGCTTTAATTTGTAAACAAAATTCATGTCACTGTGTGGAATTGCTTTCACTAGAGATGAGCATTTGTTCATTTCTAAGTGAATCTGTTGTTGTTATGTAGGAAAGGCTGGGAACCACTTTCAATCAATGAGAATAGTTCTTTCCAGTCCGACTACGCAGCTCAGAGGTATTGTCTATTCTTGTGTACAGCATACTCCATCCTTTCTGGTGATGACTACATTTGAGTCCAATATGAAAGGAGGGAGGAGTTCCCATAAAAACCACCGGTATCACCATTCTCTACCATGCAATGGTGATCATCACCTTCAGGCTTCAGCAGCAAATGAGACAGGCATTACTATCTTCAGGGGACTGAGATTCAGAGAGGTTCAGTGAGGTGTCTAAGATCACGAAGGTAGCACGTGGTGGACTGGGATTTGCCTGGTTTCACAACACAATCCAAGCTTTGGAATGAGTGTTTTCTTTTTTTAATAATTATTTTATTAAATTTTATCCATTGTCTCTCTCTCTCTCTCTCTCTCTCTCTCTCTCTTTTTAAGTTGACCAGAGAGAGACAGAGAGAGAAGGAAAGTGAAAAAGCTGCCATGTCCAGGACTCTAACCCCGGTCAACCCTGTGGGATTCCAGTCACCCTACCCACTACCCCACCTGCCGACCGCTTAATGAACGGCTGTGGCAAGTGACACTCCTGTGCACACATCCATGCGGTAAATTTCCAGAGGAGTGACGGCTTTTCCCTCTGTTCACAGAGCTCTGAATGCACCACAGCCCGCTGGAACAAGCACGTCCTCTCCCAGCTTTCCATTTGGCGCCTGCCTGTGAACTCATGAAATGACACAGTCTATCAGCTGGTCACCAGGATAGAAACTCGGTCACCTTTATGCCTTTTTTTTTTCTCTTTCTCTAGTTCCTGTTCCTCCCAAATCTGTGACTTCCCTAATGATGAATAAAGACGGCTTCCTAGGAGGCATGTCTGTCAACACAGGCGAGGTGTTTTGCTCAGTCCCAGGCCGTTTATCTCTTCTCAGTTCAACTTCAAAATACAAAGTAACTGTGGGAGAAGTTCAGAGACGGCTCTCCCCTCCGGAATGCCTCAATGCGTCTCTTCTCGGCGGCGTCCTCAGAAGGTAACCACCCCTACGAACCAATTTTATTGGGTGGGAAAAAGCTCCCTTGCGCGGGGAAATCTTTGAGATGGACAATGCGGTTGCCTGGCAACCAGGCGACTGGCCTGTGAGTGTGTGTGGGGGAGCACGCTGGCACGCTGTGCGTAGGGAGGGCAGCAGCCAACCACGTGCTTGGGCATCGAGGTGCAGTAGGGGGGAAGAGGGCGTGTACGCATGCGTAGCCTCGCCCTCCCTCCAATTCTGCAACCCTGAGAAAGGCGCTTTCTGCCACTTACCCATATAGACCCCTCCCAAATAGCTTTAGCCTGAGGGCTACCCAAAGCCTACAAACACACACACACACACACACACACACACACACTTACCCTTCCTATCCTCAGTGTACTGATATTTCTCATTATATTTCAAAATACAATTGATGGCCATCTAAGTTGGACTAATGATCCACTAGTGAAATGCATTGTGCCCTACAGTTTGGAAACTGCTTTCTTAATAGATCTGTTACCTACTTCCTTCAATAACCAGCAATAATAATATCACTTTAGAGGTAGTAATAGTTATTCATTGAACCCATTCAGGTGCACCCCAATATTGCATCCAATAAACTTACTCCTCCCTATGGAAATAATGATGGAGATACTTTTTGTTTTAAGGTTTAAAGTCTCTCCAAAAGGTCCTGCCAACACCTGAACCCTTTGGCAATGTCTCTGATATGAGGGTTATGTATGAGAGAGAACTTTTCAGGTTAATCCATAGTGGGGGTGGATAGTCCCCTTTTGGGGGGATTTTTTTTCTTCCTTTTTAAAAATTACTTTTAGTTTTTAACCTTCCTTCCCCCCATTCAATCACTGTGTATTATTACAGCATACCAAATAAATTTTTCCATCCTGGATACACTGTACATTGGTTCAAAGCTATTACCATACATATTATCAACAGATGGTTTTCCATTTTGTGACAGTCCCCTTCTTTCCTAAAAGTGGCTGTGACTAATACAGCAAGAAAGGTCAGAGCAACTTTTTTCTTTCTTGTATTTTTGTATAGACCTTAGCATATACTAGACAAGTCTGGGGAGAAATTAAGGGCACGAGCCAGAACCTTTCTTATTTGGGGATGCTTTTGCTCTGTCCCACCCTGATTCAGTTTTCAGCAAGTCAGCTCAGCTGTAGAGTAAGGAAATTTCTAGTAACCTCTTAGCATTGAGCGTGTGTGTGTGTGTGTGTGTGTGTGTGTGTGTGTGTAAAACTTGCTAAGAGTTAAATGAGATGATCAATATAAAGTGCTTATCACATAATTAAACTCCCTAAAGTGTCAGTTTCACTCTTATTATGATAATCATTATCGTTAGTTTCATCTTTTTGTTCCTCCCCTTATGACACAATTTCATTACATACCAACTCTTGACCCCTTTCTTGCAAAGCCCACCTGTTTCAGCAAGTGCCTTCTCTCTGAACCACCTGGCTCTTTTCCTCTTTTCAGCAAGGTTGTGCTTACCCAATTTCTGCTCACCTCACTGGCTCCATGACAGAAGGAAAGTGTGTGTGTGCATGTGCAACTTCTACCTTCCCTGGACCCACAACCTACACACTAATTATTCCCATCTGGTATCATTTTTTTTTCTCAAGAGATAAAAAAGGAAAACAACTCTTTTTTTATGCTCTGTATTGCAGAAATTAAGCAAACCTCAGCAAACTATCAGCAAATAACCAAAAGGAAGGGGGAAAATGTGCTAACCTCAAGTTAAAACCTCTTCAAGCTCCACTGGGCTTTAGATTGCTAAGTCTAAACTTTGTTTCAGGAACACTCTGAGGTTAATCAGAATGTTAATTCTTGCAATTTCAGAGCCAAATCGAAAAATGGGGGGAGATCTTTGCGAGAAAGGCTAGAAAAAATCGGTTTGAATTTACCCGCGGGCAGGCGCAAAGCAGCAAATGTCACGTTACTCACCTCCCTGGTGGAAGGTAAGCAAGACGTGTGGCCATTTCACGAAATGGCTGAGCTTAACTGTCGGCTGGAGGCTGACATTTTACACATTTCATGATTAACTGGAAATCATTGCAATTGTTGTGCCCTCTTGAGTTGGATGTCAAGCGGCTGCTTGAGAGAAGTTCAAAGGTCCTTTTACTTAGAGGAAGTCAGCAGTTGTAGAGAGGCCAAACGATTTAAGAGGGTCCAAACTTTGGCAGCCATCACATCTGCTGGCACGTGTGGGACCCAGTGTTCAAAACATCTTCTGTGTGAATTCTTGCAACGAACAATCTATTCTATACTCCTCTTCCTTCCCAGATTTTACTTCTGAATTGTCATTACTAGAACACACATTGCATTCATAACTCATAATGGTTATTTTAAATTCATGTCCCTCCCAGGACACTACCTCCTGTTGATTACCTGGGACTTCCCATTACGGAAATAATGGTAACTTAAGGAGGCCAATGATGCCTAAAAAGAAATTGTGGGGGGTGAGGAAACATGGAGAGAAGTTAGGTATGATCTTTGCCACAGATTTATCAATTGTGAATTAAAGGGCCCTAACTGTGATAAGAATCTTGTATGTGCTCATCATTTAAGGTCTAGGGTGATATTTATGGTGTGTGATAAACAAGATCATCTTCCTAGTCTAGAATAAAATTATCATCAGTTGAATTTGTGGGATGAAATGGGATAGGGAGTATAGGCAGATGGTCTTAATGGGAAGATGTAGAATTGTCTGTAGACTCCAGCTTGTAGGGATTGTTTTGTGTTTCCCATTTTATGGATGTAATATTATGACACTCCTGAAGGAAGTTGGTTTTTGGAGGAAAATATCTTAGTTAAGCAGCAAACATAAACTCATCATAGTTATAGGTCTTGCACTTTGTCATCTTTAAGGCAAAGTGGCTTGGCCCAAACTTATCCTCCAGAGGCAGCCATTACCCAATTTCCAGACCACACTTATTAGTGGTTGACCCGCAGCCTGGGGGGTTCACATATACCCTTCAGGGACTTGCTAATATCACAGTTCTCATTTTGAAACACAGTCAAGGTAATCTTAGCCCAATACAGAGATGTTGGTAGAAAAGGGAGGAAGCTGGAAAACCTACTGAAATTCCGCTATTTGGTAGGCATTCTTTTAGTTTTATGGGTCCCTGTAACTTCCATGCCTGAAGTCTTCTGTGGTTATTATAATGATTAAAAGTCATGCTCCTTAAAAATGATGTAGTTATGGAATAATTCTACATATCGCCTTTTCACGTTTGGGATCTTCCTTCAACCCCCTAAGGCTATGCTTTTAAGGGCAATAATGCTTTATTTGAGAGGGACTTCCACATAAGCTGAGGAAAACCTCAGATGCCCTGGTTTTCTACAGCTGGTATGTCATCCCTGCAGTAGAATGTTCATAAGTAGGAGGGTGATGACAGGAACCTCTAAAAGGCAAGAAAGCTGAAACCTGACTAGCAGAAGTAGTAACGGGGGAATAATTATCCCATTGCTGGATAGACTCTTTCCATGTACATTTAACATATATTATTTAATACATGTGAACATACAGATACACAGGTTTGTGTTTATACATTAGTTCTTAATAAGAGATTGTTTTCTTAGTACAATTACAGGAAGGGGGGCTGTCTTTTAAATTTTATTTGAAGCAGGTGTCACAAGTGCTTTAAAAAGAAGTGGGGAATTGGGCTTGAATATCTAGCCAAATGTCTTGAGTTTAATTGTAAAGTGGTTCTTTCATTTATTAACCCACCTTCTTATGACAATGTGAGTGGGGTGTGGGAGACCTCACAGGTATGGGGAGGGGGCTATCTAGCTAGAACTTGGCTAAGGGAGAGGATGGAAGGAGCAGCAGGAGCAAATTCTGTCCCAACAGTAATTGTAACTTGAGAATTGTTTTCATTGTATTTTGGGCATTTGTCTCACTTCTGCTTTTGTCCAACAGCTGTCCTCTGGAAACACTTAATAGAGTTGATGGGGAGCATCTCCTGGTCTGGGATGTTTAGAGACCGGGTGCTGATTGTCACCTCTGCTGCTGTCTTTTTAGGAGAGGCTGTCCACTTAGCTCGGGATTTCGGGTACATTTGCGAAACAGAGTTTCCCGCCAAAGCTGTCTCTGAGTATTTAAACCGGCAGCACACGGACCCTAGTGACCTGCACTCCCGAAAGAATATGCTGCTGGCGACCAAGTGAGTGTCCCAGATCCCTGGCCCTCATCCCTGCTCCCCACTCTGTTTCGCCCCCTCTCAGGAGAGGTTGTTTGGAGCCGCAGTGTAAGACCCCCCTCGCCTTTCCCCCCACCGCCCCCATACTTCGTCTGTGGGTTCGGAGGTTGTCTAGAAATTGCATTTGCAGCCTATGACAAGCTGGCTAGGAAACTGGTCCTGCTTTCCCGCCATAGGCAGAGTTCACAGGCAGTGGGGTTGTCTTAGACCTCGTCTCTGCATGTATGACTTTATTAATCTGAAGGATTTTTACAGTGCTCTTCTACAAACCCGGAGGTGTCAGGCAGACCTGTTCCGGTGTGGGTCCTTGTTCAGTTCTGCCCTGGCTGCCTAGATTCCCCAGCTCCTGCCTGGATTTCACATCTATCTCCCCATCACGTCCACGCAGCCATGTGTGCTCGCTCGGGGTGTCTATATGTCTCCCACGTGTACCCGGCTCTACCCACAGCTCTAATTACTCCGTTTCCAACGTTGCTGTTTGTCATCTTCCACAGACTTGTAAAATTTACTACAACTCCAGAGGGGAAAATAGTAAATCTCTGGCTAAATTTAGGTCTAGAGCTCATTTGAACTTTTACAGTGGGTTTTCTATTTATTTGATTTACTCCTGTCTTTGGCTTCGGTGTCATATTGTTGGTGTTTTATGGCCGGCTCAGGCCTGCAGTGGGCGGCGCTGCGTGCACCCGCAAGTTTCTCTCGCAGGCGCGGCCCAAACAGCGGCGCTCATTTATTTAGCGCTCGAGGACGCGGTTTGTCCCGTTGACAGAGTAATTTAAAGAAATATATGGAAGGCTGAAAAATCATTTGCTCAAATTTGTCCAGATGTTTTTGAGACGTGATTGGAATTTGATTGCCCCTTTCCGCAGGGTCAAAAAATATTAATGTCCCAGAACTTTAATTGCTTACAGACCCTGGTTTGGGCTTTGAAGATTTAAAATGTTTGACTCTAAGCATTTGTTCTCCCCAGTTCAGAATTTCCTTTTTGGCACTTTGATAATGAGCACAAACTTAAGGAAAGACTTTAACCATCTCTCCCAGTAATCAAAACCTGGCACCCACCCTCATTTCAAGGTTTTCTCTGATGGACCAACTAGCAATATCAAATCTTTGTCAGTAGATTGCCTTCCTACCTCTTGCCCTGGTATCTGGTATGGGGAGGGAACTGTTGTGTTTTATAAAAGAAGAAGGTACGCTAGGGGGAAAATGAAAACCAAACTGCGAACATCAGATAATGAATCCACCAAGGTTCCTGCCATTTCACTAAGGGATGCTTAGAACTACCTCCCTTTTGAAGCCTTGTGGCATCTCTTGGATCTGCACTCCTTACCTTGGGAGATCAGAATCATCCGGGAGCTTGTTCAAGATATTTATGAATGGCCCCTACCCCCAAGTCTTGTGAATTGGAGGCACTGTAAGTGGGAACCTGTATATTTGAACCCAAGCAGTGATTCTGAGGTACCTCTGGCTGAAGAACCGTCCTATTAGGTCCCATCCGTTATCTGTCCCTGGTTGTGGGGGCATATGTGTGTATTTCCAATGAAGAACCCAAAGGGTAGAACGAGCATGCCTATTAGTTTTCTCTGTTCATCATCCTTAAAATCAACAGCCTTTCCACCGCTGCAAGTGGGTGGGGGAAGAGGTGTCTCACATCTGATTTAGCCACTACCCTTCGCGGAAGTGGTGGTACCCTGGGAAAGAATGTCCCAGGGCCCTTCAAATCTAACCACCTGCTGTGTTTACCAGTTGACCAGGTGTTGCCAAGTGTCTGTCAGGTGATCCCATCAGGGATCTGGGCCTGGAGTGCTGCAGGTGTGCTTTTCTGAAAACCCCATGGACTCACAGTCGGGGAGTCGGGTGGAGGCAGGCAGACGGAAGAGCCTGCCCATTTGTGAAAGGCTGTGTCCTTTTAGGTGCTATCCCCTCTGCCCGCCAGCAGAGCCAAGCCATTCAACCTCCAGGGCTAAAAGCTTCCCATCTACCTCCTATATTAAAAAAATTCTCAAATAAGCTAAATCCATAGTTAGGCACACAAGATTTCTAAGGCTGGGAAATTCCTCTAAATTGTAGGTGCCTTGAGGAAATAAAAACCAAACAAATAAAAATCTATCCTCCCCAGTGTCTTAACAGTCTACCTTTAGGTTTTATTTAAACTATGTGGGAATCCTTTTATATTGACAACAATCCTGTTATACAAAGATTTTCAGTAGCCTGCACTTACAAGAAAAAAAAGGGGAGAAAAGAAAGGAAGAAAACAGTGCCCTCTCCAAATACTGCAGGTAAACAGGCTTTCGCTTTGAATGGAATCAGCATTCTCTCCTAGAATAAACAGTTTCTTGCCCTGGGCCATGCAAGACTCCAGCAATCTGCTTCAGTGCCAGGGACAGGCTTGTGGCCGAGGGGCCTAAATCTTGCAGGGCTTTTTGTGCCTGATCACCAAGAGGCAGGAGAGGCAGCAGAGAGGAGGGGGAAATGATGGGAAAGGAAAAACAAACAAACAAACAAAAAAAAAAAAAAAAAAAAAAAAAAAAAAAAAAAAAAAAAAAGGGAAGCGA